ATAGTCGTAAATTTATATCATAGACAACTTTATCAATTCACAATAATTTATAATAACAGCAACAAAGATATATACCAAATTTGAGCACAAATATGTGTGTCCACGTAATGCCAACTTTCTAATCAAATACAGAGCACTTAAAACAAAGAGAAGTATTTTTTTTAAATTATTTGATCATATAATAGAGAACATAGAAGTTTATTATTTCTTGGGCATGTAAAGAACTCATAAAACCACCTGGGCCCTGTACCTTTTGGAGGAGAGTGTGTGATTATGGCTTTGGGTGCAGACACATATGCAACCCCCTCTTTTGTAATGCTGGTATAATTTTATAGTTTCTTAGTAAATCTTATTTCAGAGATTTTGTGGCATCCATAACGAGGAAGAGTATTATAAGGCAGAGAAGATGTATAATTTGTCAGGTGGGTGTTTCCCTCCCCACCTCTCCCTTTTCTTGGCCTACTTTGTTGAATGGGAGTTGCTGGCCATGGTGTTCCGGGTCTGTCTGGGTGCAGCCCTGGTCTTCCCTGTGTACACCACTTTGTACTTCCTGAGCAAGTTAGCCGTGACCCCTGCAGTGGCTTCACAGAACCCCCTTTAGTAAGGGACAGAATTCTGGATGCAGCATCTGTAACCTTTAACTCTTGGCCATATCATTATTTCTCACAACTTTGATTCATCCATTGATTTCAAACAAGAATTAATTAAGCATCTACCTCATTTCAGACAGTATGTTAGGTACCGGAAAGTCAGCCATGATGCCATTCCCTCCCTGCAGAGAGCTGATGCTGTACATAAGGGAACAGAAAGCAAATAACATAAATTAGATGCTAGTGCTTCACATTGAGGAGAAGATTCAAACCAGGCCTGAGAAATAGTTTCAGGGAGGGTGTCAGGGGAAGTTATGTGGGTCAGATGGAGAAGGCCTCATGGATGCAGCCACATTAGTAAAAGCCTGAAGGGAGTGAGGGAGTGCACCAGGTGGCCATGTGTACTTCTGTGGAGAGAGAACACCCTGTGGGTATGTGGCTTTCCAAGGAGGACAGCCCCATTAGGGGAAAGTAGTGGAAGTCGTAGTGGGAAGCTCTCAAATGTAAACAGAGATGATGGTGGTGGTGGGCTGTGGTGTCACTTGAGGTCTTGGAGAACCTTGACTTTTTCTTCTGTGTACATGGGGTTGTGGAGAATTTCAAGTAGGGACCTAGGGCGTCCATGGCCGAAAACCATCAGGAAGTAACCGTGAACTGTTGGCTGAAGGATGCATCTTGCAGACCAAGATGAGGGTCACAGACTGACACCTTAGCCCACAGAGGACTTCTTTTATTCATTTGTACATGTGACGCCCAACCCCATGAAACCACTTACACAAGGCCTACAAAGAAATGAAGCCCTCTGCTGCTTAGCTCCCAAGGGTCTTGGTCCTGCACTGCCCAGAGTCCTTTTGCAGGGAGATGTTTCCCTCTGGTGTCCACACTGGGAACCCATTCTCTTAAGAACTGTGTGTTTCCCTTTTTTCTGCTGACTCTTGGCCTTATGCTGGCTCCCCGTTTGCTGCTAGGAAGCAGATGCTCAGAACTCAGGATGAGGTCTGCAGGTCCCTGTCTAGCAAGGCCGTGGGCCTGTGACCTCTACATTCAATGTACATCTAACCTCATTTTCATGGGCGCCTTTACAGAGAAACTTTTACTGTGCTGTATCTTTGTGAGTCACTAGAGTGTGCCAGCTACAAAGAGCTAACACTATAGAATGCAAATGCCATCAGTTACAGATAAAAGGAAAAGATCCAATTTGAAGTTTGGGTCATTTGTATTCTATGTTTGGTTCCATGAAATGTGTATGTTTATGCCAGGTGTAATAGCGTACACCTGTAATCCCAGAACCCTGGAAGATGAAGCAGGAGGATCGCTGTGAGTTTGAGACCAGCCTGGGCTACATAGTAAGTTCAAGGCCAGCCTGAACTGCATAGTGAGATCTTATCTCATAAAACAAAACAAAACAACAACAACAAAAATGCATATGTTTACACATGCACAGGCACAAATACATCCACCCATCTGTGATTTTGGGGGTTAAATCACGAGGAGCCTAATGCCAGGGAATCTGTTGCGACTGACCAGTGAGTCTGTCTCTTCAAGTGGCTGCAGTACTACCAGTCCTTCACAGTTCAAAACTTACTCTTGTGTCCCACACCAGTGTGCACTAGAGGTGCAGGTGCAAAGTGCTCAGCTGGGCTGGGGGCTGAGAACGTGGAAGCAAGGCTTCTTTTGGCTCTCGGTTGCAGAGGGTTCCGTGCATGGTCCCTTGGCCTGTTGCTCTGGGCCAGTGGAAAGGCAGAGCACAGTGACAAGGGACACATGGTAGAGAATAAGAAAGAGCAAGAGAGGGAAGTGCTAGTGGCACAGCCAGGGGTCTAGTTCCCGTCAAGGAGGCCATGCTTCTAATGGTCCCTGCACCTCCAGTAGCACTACGACTGGGAACCTAACCTTGAATAGATCCGCCTTTGGGGGACATCTACGATCTAAACCACATTATTGATCACTTATTGTTTAAAGACCTTATAAAATCATCTTAGTCCTGTTACTGGCAAATAGTACCACTCCTCCGATCCTGATACTTTCTTTTATTGTTTAATGGAATTTAATGCTCGAAATTTGAATGAAAAGTTGTATACTCCTTGGTATTGGCCTCCAGGAGCAGATCTTTCATTTTACCTTTTCATCTCGAGGTCTGGTTTCATCTCTCGGGAGTTCTTTTATGCTTCAACCCTTGCTCAGGATCCAGGTGTTTTTGTTGCTCCTTTCGGAACTCATTTTATTTGTGGCTTGGCTCTCTGTGATCTACGCTCCATCTCTGTTTTCTTAAGTTTCATCTCTTTTCCTTATTTCCTCTGCTGTCCAAGGAGACTTCTCAGTTCTGTGTTGTGTTCCAGCTCGGTTCTCTGCAACGTTGAGTCAGCCTTTCATCAGTTAGGTGATGACTGTGTTTTTGGCTCTGAAGCCTTTTTTTAAAAATTTCATCAACATCCCTTCTCCTCTCTGTATTTTTCTGGTTTAATGAAAGTTATATAAATATTGCCTAGCAGAGAAGGTGAATGTTTTCTGGAAAAAGCCCAAAAACTTTCTGTTCACAGGGACTCCTTTGCAGATGAGAAATATTTCTTTTGAGCCATTATCACTGTCCCTCTTTCTTTGTACTATCAGCCACCCCCTCTTCATCCCACAGGCTTTATGTTAATTTTTCCTCATTACCAGAGCAGCTCCGCCCTGGGCCACTTAGGGTACTCTTTGTTCAAGTAGAGAATAACCCAGCATTAACCAGGGGTCACCAGGGGTTCCAGGGAATCCTCTCATAAAGTAGTGGAATCAAACCCCTGCCCAGGCATGCAGTTGCCTCTTCATTCATAAAGTCCCCTTGCAGTTGAGCACCATGTCTGGCATTCGGGGTGCTTAATAAAATGCTTTGGAAAATATGCAACAGGCAGTCTCCCTTGGGAGCAGGTGTGATGTTCAGAGTGTTTCAAAGCTGGGATAGCCACCATTTTGTAAGTAATTCTCCTGGGTGATTGTCAAAGTGTTAAACTCTATGACTGGCTTGGGTTTTGGACTGATGACTTTGGCCTCAAAGGTAAGAGAATTTATTTTTGGTTATTAAAACACTGTACACTAGTATAAACACTACGGAAATCAGTCTGGATGGGCCTCAAAAAACTAAAACTACACATTCTATTTGACCTGGCCATTCCCTTTCTAGGTATCTCCCTGAAAGAGTTAAAAGACATCATATCACAAGGATGTATGCATACCCATGTTTATAGCACCACAATTCATAACAGCTAAATCTTGGAAGTAGGCTGTATGTCCACCAATGGATGAATGGATAAAGAATCCATTGTGTGAGATTTACAAACAAGGGAGCACTATGCTGTCATGTAGAAGGATGAGCTTGAGTCCTTTGTGGGAAAAAAGGATGCACTTTTGAGATCATAATGTTAAGTGAAATAAATTGGACCTACAGGCTTAAATAGTGCATGGTTTCTCCTTTATGAAAAGCCCAAAATATACGTAACAAGCAACATAAAAGACAGAACATGGGAAACAGGAGTACAGATCTTTTGCAAAAGGGAAGAGGACCAAGCAATGGAGTGAGAGGGTGAGAGGGGAAGGAAAGGGGATGAAAGAAAGAATGAAGGTGTGTTCTATGCACGCGCCAGCTCCCCACGAGGAGAGGGATTGGTATGTACCACAGACGCTGATCAACGAAAGAAATAAATAAAAACTGGCAAATCCCCACAGTAATTAATAATTTGTGCTTTCAAAAGCTTTGTGTTTTCCTTTCCTGTCTCGCTCTTCTATCACCAAAAAGCATGACCTCTTCTGCTCAAGAGGAGCTTCAGATTTAGAAAGGACACATTCACCTTGACATTCCTAACAGTGCAATTATTTAAATTGGGAGTCCTGAGATTGTGGGGAGTGGTATCTTCCCAGTTAAGATTTTTTTTTTTTTGATTGGAAGAAAAACATAACACAGCAGGCCATACCCTTCATTTTATCGGGGATGAAACTAAAAATAAAAAAAAAAAATCATCAAATACACAAGGTTATCAGATTTGTTCTTAATCTGCTTTTAGAGTTACCCTGAGCTGTCACAATTCCTAGTATTTTTCAGAGACAAAATCCTGCCAGACCACTGGGTAACTCTGAAACGGTGGTGAAATCAGAGCTGGCCGAGCCTGAAGAAAGCACCTCCAGCCAGGCCCTCCCCAGTGGGTCTTACCCTCCCCTGGTTCCAAACCGACCCCCTTCCTGAGAAAGCCAGTGCACTGGCTCCCATTAACCTGGTCAAGAATCAGAATGAAGGAATATGTGCAAGGTAGCGAATGGCTCATCTGCCAGGACTTCACTTCCTTCCACCCTGGGTAGCTGGGGTGACTCGGATGGGCGGACCGTGAACGTACCATGCTTGCATTGAAAGTAACCTGTCTGTTTCCTTTCTTTTTCCAGGTTTGAGATTTTTAAGAGCTCTCAGGCTGATACAGTTTTCAGAAATTTTGCAGTTTCTGAATATCCTTAAAACAAGGTAAGATGTTCTTTTTCCTGTTTTCCCTCTCTCCGGTCCCCAGTGCCAAGTTGTAAATATCAGGTGTGTTTGCTTTCAGGGCAGTAAAATTAGTTCTGTTATACACAGGAAGAGAGAGCTCACGCAGGGGTGGAGAGAAACCCCTGAGGGGGTTGGTGTGGATCTCTTCCACAGGGCAGGGAGCTGTATGGTGAAAAGAGAAGCAAGGCCATGCGTGTGGGGAATCACGGACAGTTTTGGGGGACGCATGCCTCATGCCTGGATAGAGTCAGGTGTCCCGGACAGAGGTACACAGCAATGAGGGATAGATTTGCTCATTTGATTGGGAAGCCCTTGCTGCTAGGTCCTAAACTGTCCCTTTATTACACCACTAAATAGGAAATTGAACTTGGTCATAAAGGCAGGAGAAACAGTGCTCTTTGAGAGGCAATCACAAAGCTCGTACCACAAACAGAAAATCATTTCATTTCTAAGTACATTTCAGATGTTCACTTTATATCTCTGGAGCCCCTGGGGCTTACTCTGTGAACTGCCTTTTGGGGAAGCCCTGCAAACCTCCAGCTGAATGCACCGTGACTGCTTCTGTTAACTGTGTTATGATCTGGAAAACACAACTGGACCCGGAGCCAAGTCCCGCTGATGATCCTTGCCTGGTGACCTGCCGGTGCACAGAGCTGGCCTGAAACCAGGGCTGTATTGATGAATAAACTAATAAAAGAGGCCGGCGTCCTCTAATGGAGAATAAGCACAGCTCATAAATTTCTCTTCCAGGAAACGACACCTTAAGAAGCTCCCCTTTTTGGTTGGCCTTGATGTACTTGATAAATGATTGAAAACAGGAGAACTCTGTAGTTAATGGTTTATAGTGAATATCCCTGCATTTTTGAGGCCTTGAGTTCAGCATCACTTTCCCATTCATGCAGGCTGGGATTCAAGCTTCCTGAATATGACAGGTTCAACAAATTCAACCAACTTTTGACTCTATCCTCTGGGTGTCAGTATTTTTGTTTATCTTGGTTTCAATTCCAAATTGGTCTCTCCAACTATTCATCTATGTAAATGTGAGGTAAAATCCACTTTCTATTAGTCAAGTTAAAAAGAAAAAGAGCCACTGATGTCTCTTAAAACATCTCCATCTACATTTCATTATCCTGAGGTAAGGATTTATTGGGTCTCTGTTAGTGTGTGATAATATTCATGGAGTGTGAATATTATTATTCTTCATATTTTCTTCTGAGCACCAATAGCCTTGATTTCTACCTTTTCACAGCTCTTCTGTACAAGTCATATTACTTTTGAAGTCTGCATCAATGATCGACAGAGCTAGCATCAGCGATATTTACCATATCGTGCTTGCACCAGGAGACTGTATTTTTTTAAGGCTAAATCAGTGTGTGCCCAGCAACAAGCAGGGGGTCGTGTCCATACAGATACACTTTTTCTAATGGAGATGGTATTACACTGTCCGTGGAGCAACCAAGGAGGGTGAGAATACAGTTCTCCTCATATTGTTTCTCAGAGTACTGGAGCCTTCTTAAAATGCTGGTTTCAGAGAACAACAATGCTCCAAATTTACGTAATAAATGTGAAACAAGGAGAGAAAGACCCTCTATCAAGGCAGAGAGTGGCTAGTTCCCTTTTGGGGTTGCAGAGAATGATGGAATTTATCAGTCAGTATTCCCATTGCTGAATAACAGACACCCACAATTTAAAGGAGGAGAGGTTTAAATTGGCTCAGGTTTTAAGGGGGTTCAGTCCAAAGACAGCTGGCTGTCAGGCAAAAAAAATATGGCAGAATGGCATGGCAGAAGAAAGATGCTTAATTCATGGTGGCTGGGAGCAAAGTAGGGAAACAGTGCTTGGGAGCAAGGGTGAGAGAACAGACATAGACCTCAAGACTGTACCTCCATGACCCGCACGGACACATCCAGAGGTGTGCGTCACCAATCCCCGAGGTGAATCCCAAAGCCAATTAAGTCGACACTATCCTGCTTAGCCATCACAAGTGGCCCTCTGAACTTCTTTTTCTTATCTTTTGTTAGGACACTCACCTGTCTACCATTCCTTGGCAAGGGTTCCTTTCTTTCCTTTGGAAGTAAGCAGTAGCTCTGGCATCCCTGGAGCATAATCCACCTGGAAGCCAGGCAGCTATGGTGCTTCATGTCCTCAGTGCAGAGTGGGGAGTGAAAGTGGGGTGGGGTGATTGTCCTGGGGAAGAACAACCCTCAGGAAGAGTCATGGGGCGAGGGTAGCAGGCTGGTTATGCATCTGCCTACCGGTTCCCAAGCAGCAATTCCCCTGCACCTCACTTCCCAGCAAATTAAATTCCTATTTATGGTCAGATGATGCTTTTGTTCTGCAGTCCCACAGCTTAGATGCTGTGTGTTCCTGTCACATGTAACCAAGACCACGTGATTGGTTGAGTCTCACAAGTTTAAAGTGAGCCCCCATTTGTGCCAGCAGCAAAGTGGGTGCAAAGATAGTCATGCCAGCAGAGAGCTGATGGGGACAGAGCTCACAGCCACTGTGCCCAGCTATTCAGTGGGTGCAAAGATTGGAGGTGCTAGGCGCACAGAGGAGAGTCCCTAAGCTGGGCTTGGCATGAGGATGGGGCACTCAAGGAGAAGCGATGTAAGGCAAACCTTGTGGAAATGTAGGTATCTGTCATTTCAGTGTGGGCAGGGGGCGTGAGAAGTTGGAGGGTGGGCTTCGCTTCCAATCAGGGAAGCTATGGGGGCCCACGGGTGACAGAACATGACACTCATGGGACTTTGGAGTTATTTTGTACGCCTGAGACTTCTGTGGTGGAGGGAAGGAGGGTGAGGTAGGAGTGTGAACAAAGGCCAGGTCAGCAGCACAGAGGAAAACTTCATTGAGTTATGAGTGCTCTAGAAGTTCCCAGACCAATGTTAGAGCCCGTTCTATCTCCTACTTGGTGAATCTCGGTTTCTTCCTTCTGCACACCTAAGCATAGGTCCCTGGGCTCTGCCCCAGAAAACGGAAAGCCTGGCTTTGGTCGGGTTGTGGTCTCAGAGGGATTCTCATGTGACTTCTCTATTCTCTGCTGTTCTCACTGTGACCTTCCACGATGCTGAGTGGAGCCATGTAATCATCTTTAAGGAGATTTTGTCTGGCTTTCCCTGGCTGTGAATCCCTGCCAATCTGTGGCATTAGGTGGGGATGGAAGATTTGCAAATGTGATTTGAAATAATGATTTGAAATTACTGTTTCATTTTCTGTTCTTTGGCTTCCTCGTTCCCCCAAGAGCTGGAGGAAACGGGGCAGAGAGGTAGAGGAAAGGTGGGGAGTGGCAGAGAAGGAAGAAGATAGCAGAAGAGAACGCAAAATGCACAGAACAGTGGAGACAAGTCACACTTACGGGACCAGGATAGTTCCTCCAAACTGCACCAAACAGAGGCCCAGACATGCTCTGTATTCTGAAAATGGCCTATTTAGGGGTAGCCCAGAGACTCTCTGTTGTCTGAGCTTTAGGAAGGAAGTTCATCAGTTATCTTCCAAACTTACTGGGCTGCTTGTTCTACAGCCAGGGAAAAGTAAGTAGCTCTGCTTAAGAACTCCATGAAGTTGCACATCTGTGTTAGTCATTTTTCTAGTTGTTGAGACAAATTCTTGACACCCAAAGTTAAAGGGGGAAAGGTTTATCTTGTCTCATAGCTTGTAGAAGTTTTAGCCCATTGTTGTCTGGCTCCAAGACACAGTGGCATAGCAGAGGGGCGCTGCAGAGGAGAAACAGTCCATGGCATGGCTGGGTAGGCAGAAGCCAGCAAAGCAGCAGCCAATGAGCCGCAGGCAGCAGCGATGACAGTAGTACTCTTTCTGTCCCTAACATAGAGAGCTCTTCCTGGTCCTCATCATGGCCCAGAAAGTTTGTAGTTGTAATTCCAGGGAAAAGTTATTGGAATTCTAGTGAGTTAATTCCAATCTACCACTTCCAGTGCAACCCATGCGAGAATAAGGACGCTAAGACATATTTGTAGTCATGGGGAGCCAAGGGGTCCAAAGTCCAGCTACGATGGTGGTCATCCAGAACAAAAGCCTTGACCCAGGGCTGAACCCAGGTTTTATTAATTCGTGAAGAAGGGAGTGGTTTGAGGATGAGTGACTGAGAATGGCAGAAAGTAGGTGAGTGCTGTGAGCTGGGCTAGGTAGGAGGCCTGAAATCACCTCTGCAATATGCAGAGAGAAGGATATGCAGAAAGAGTAATCTGCAAAACTCAACTGAGGTAGTTTGTAATGTTTTGGGGTCAGTGTTTCAGCTCTGAGGTGTAATCTTTTATGTCCTGAGAGGTCACAGCCTCTCTTTCGAGCCTCTATCTCACAGCCTCTCTCTTGATCCCAGCCCACAGCATGGAGCATGGCTGTCCATCCCACCTTGGCTTGCACATGTTTTATTTGGGAGCTGGGGGGAGGGGTGGGCAACCACTGCCCTGTCCTTGTTGCTTCAAAGATTATACATCAGCACCTCGGCTGGGCCGATACGCATTGCTTAAAGCCGGTTGAAGGGATAAGGAAAAGTCCTAGCCAGCTCTGCACACATAAATACATGGAAATAGGGCCAGGTTCAGCCAAAATGGAGACAACTGCTCCTCCTCCAAGAAGAGTCACCCAGGTGGTCTCCACACCTAGCACTCACACACCCTTGATAGAGTGGCCTTTATGCCAGCATCCCACCATTAATCCCAGCATCATACACTTAATCCCAGTGTCACACACATAGACCCAGTCACCTCCCAAAAGTCCCTTTTACGAGCTCATGAGGCTTTGGGGGGACATCTAGATACAAGCTGTAACAGCGTCTCATTGAATGTAGTCCATTGTGGTGATCGAAAGGTGGGTTACCTAGCCGTGTTTCTTCAAAACGAAAATTGCCGTATTGTTTTCTCTAATCAGTAAACTAAGATATATTCATTGCAAACATTTTAACATTATAGACCACAGAAAAGGGCAGAGTGATATCGTCCCACACCAGGCCACTTTGAGGAGACCATTGCCATCTTCAGTGTCATTTTTACTTCTCACACAGCATATGTAGGTGCCATGATTTGCCGAATATGCTTGGGGGAGATTTGGGAAATTCAGACTTTACTACACGTACGACCTTAGAAATGGCTCCAAGGCAAGTTGTACCAAGAACAGTATTTGCTATGGAAACAAGCAAGGCGTCTGAGGTAGAGCGCAAATCGTGAAGGCTCTTAGGTTCGTGGATTTTCCTGAGAACAAGATGGAGCTGTTGAAGGATTTTAATCAGTACAGGAAACGTGGTTAGACATGTATTCTTGAAAAATCCACTCTTCTACTTGTAGATTTTACTTCTATTGTATAGAAAGTCGGTTTCAAGTGCCTGTGGCCTCAGAGACTAAGACCAGACAGGTGGCGTTAGTCCAGGACAGAGGTCTTGGGAAAGCCTGCATGGTGCATGTTGGGGTGGAGTAAACGAGAGGGGTTCTAGAGATAACTAAAAGGTAGAATGAACAGAATTTGATTTTGCTTCACTCCATATCTTATAGTTGAGACTTTTGTCAGTGTGATACAGTACAGTTCACTCCAAGGTTGGGATATTTACATCTCTCAGGCAGACATAGCACTGAAGCAGAATAAGCCCACTGGCACCTGGCTGTACCTTTAGCCAGAAATAAAGAGGAAGATTAGAGACAGGATGGATTTGTGCTTCCTTGTGTAAAACAGATGATATGTTCAGCGTTATCACACACATGTCCTGTTTAATATACACAAGGCGAAGACGGTGCAAATGCGGCTCTTAGAAGCTCTGGGTTTACAGCTACTATCTCAGAAGTCAGATTTTCTGACCCACCGTATTCCCATAGCTGCCTTTGGGTGATTCTCTGTGTCCAGGGATGTGAGTTACTCTAATAGCCAGGGAGAATTCCTGCCATGGGTACCAGAACTGGTCAGGAAACATGAGAAGGATAATTTTTAGTTGGGTCAGGTATTTATCATAAGATCACAATCCCTCCCTCCCTGGAGGCAGAGAGGGGAACTGGAATCTGAATGGTTCTAATTGTCCTAACCACTGATAACTTCTGGTTCGGTTCAGACCCTTGAGCTTTGTTTTGAAGACTTTTGTCAGCCCTGGGAGACTCTGGTCACAAGAGCACACAACCCTGCTCCTGTCAACACCCATCCTTCCTCCTAAGGGGTCCTCCTCAAGCCGGCCAGGCCTACATTTCACAAGATGGAGAAGTTCCACCAGGGGTGAGCCCGTGTTCTGTGCACACAGCTTTCAGATGATTGCTTGGTCATAGAGTTTAACACGGAAAGTAAACTCCTAGTGCTGTGGATCTGTGATAATGCTAGTATCTTAAAAATAATCAGATCTCAGCACTGAACATGGACTGTTTCAGCAACACTGATTAAATTAAATTTCTACACATAGCACAAACTCCCTTGAGCACCATTAGTATCGCGGTGACAATCATTGAGACATTACTAATCACCATATTTAGGGCATTTTTTGAGAACACTGAGAGGCTCAAGGATACCATAGACTCAGTGTCTTGGAAGAAGTCCTCACAGCTCTCTCGGTAGCACACTGATTGTTCTGACCCCCAGGATTCCTGAGCAAGGGTGTGAATCCACTTGGTGCTTGACTCTCCCTTGAGAAAATGAGCGGTCTACTCCTTTCCAGGAGCTCACCTTTTGCTGTCAGCTGCTAAGTCATCACTGGTTTTCTCTTTTCTAACATTAGGGCACACTGTGGAGGGCTTGGGAGCTCTGCTTCAGTTCTCTGTTGAGAAACGTACTGGGATCCAGATGAAGTATAGCAGGTTCAACTTCCTGATCACCAGGATTGCTTCCTGTTAGGGCTCTGCGGGCGACTCTCTTGTATCTGTTTGCTTTACTTTCATGCTGCCCATTTCTGGTTGCCAGTGCTGTCTTTGCAAAGAAAGGGGATTCTGAAAGCCAGCAAGGAGCCCCTGGGCTGGCCAGTTTATTCCAGGCAGTAGAAAGGCAAGGGGAGCATTATCTCAGCTCCAAGGAGGAGCTGAGGTAAAAGGTGCTAAGCATTATTTCTGGTAGTTGGTGACTCCACTCGTGGCTATGGAAACCACTTAGGAGTGAGGATGGGGAGTAGCGTGGCCCTTGGTGGTGCCTGAACTTGAGATCCTCCTGCCTCAGCCTCCTAGAGTGCTGGGATTACAGGCATCACTATGCCAAACCAATGTCTGTTTTTATTAGGTTTTATTGTAACACAGACACACCCATTCTGTTATATGTCGTCTACAGTTGCTTTTGAATTGCAATAACAGAATTCAGTGGTTACAGTATAGGTTCTTATGGATCTCAAAGCCTAAAATATCAATGGAAAACATTACCTGACCCCTGGATTAAAGCTACATAACAGCCGGATTCAGCGTGTAAACCTTTCATCCGTTCCTGGATGAGCAAGGCTGGTAAAAACAATTTCAGGGCAACTGGAGACCTTTACATAAGGACTGCATATTAGATTGTTACTGAATGGACACTAATCTTCTCAGGTGTGACAGTAGCATGGTGACAGTAGCATGCTCGTCTTAGAAGTTGGATGTTGAAATATTTAGAGGTTGTGAGGTGGTGTGGGGTGTACAGCTTATGTGTAGATGTTCTGCCAAAAAATAAAAAATATAAAATAAAAGAAGAAAGGAGAAAGAGAAAACACTATACAGAGATAAGGCAGATGTAGCAAAATGTTATCATTGGTTATGTTAGGTCAATTTAGAGAAATGTTATAATTGGTTAACGTCGAGGGTTTATTATAGTGTTCTTTGCATTTTTCTATCGAAGAGTTTTCAAAATAAAAGGTTTTCTTTTTTTTTTTTTTTCTTTTTGTAAGTTTTTTTGAATAAAATTCGAGGCCCAGCCGTAGTCTCCCTGCAGGCTGCGCTGCGATCTTGCTGCGTGTGAATTTGAGCCACCGCCCGGGCAACGGTTCCCTCTCCATGGCGTTGGCTGCCTCTTACCCACAGGGGGCGCTGTTGCCGGGGCAGGCGGTTCCCGCTCTTTGTAACTTGTGGCCTTTGCTTGTCTCTTTTGCGCAGCAATTCCATCAAGCTGGTGAATCTGCTCTCCATATTCATCAGCACGTGGCTGACTGCAGCCGGCTTCATTCATTTGGTGAGTATCCTTGAAGACCCTCTGCTCCAGCTGGCCTGGAGCAAGCCCCTCGTTGAGTCCTTTTATTACGCGAAATTTCTCACGCTGCAGACACTTCAGCGTAGTTGTAGACAGGAAAGGAGGGAAGCAACCGCACAATTGTGTGGGTTTCCAGCACTTTTACCCCAAGCTTCTTCCAAATGGTGAGTAATGTTGCCCTATAACCTGTGTACTGCAGCGGGGACTTTCGCACTTTTCATCCTGTCTGCAGTAACCCTAGACAACCACAAGATGGCAGTGCTTCCACAGCAAACGCCCGGAAAAGGTCAGGGGGACAAGGTTGGAAGTTTGACCCACATCTCTTTGTAAACAACAAATTCAGATCCCTCAATTTCCACCCCTCCACTTACAAAAAGCTGCCTTTCAGTCTTTCGCTTGATTACTTGTCAAGTTATTTCGTACTTCAGAAATGTTAATTCTTTTATATTAATGACTCTTTGAAAGCCTTCTATTATTAAGTCAAGTTCTTCTCACCTCCCCAAGGCAGACTTTTTTCTCACCCTGCTTTTAGAGATCATAGCTATTGTTGGAAGCGCGTTTCCTACAAACACAGGCTGTTGGAAAGAGCCTCTTCAAACTGTGTAACTTTGAATAAAGGTGACCCTGCCTCCTTGAGCCTCTATTTGCATGACGGGTTAAAGGGTGCTCTCTCCTTACTGCACCTGGGACTCACTTAATCAGTCAATCGTCATGCAAAGGAAGACCAGTCCTGGACGGGAGGAGGAGGTGCCGCAGTTATCAGACCTGAGGGGGCCTACCCGAACCTTTATGGGGGCGACATTCTTGGTCAAACTCACCCTTCACACCTTAAACCAATAACCAAGCACCAAGTGTGCAAGTCAGTTCGCCATCATCAGTAAGATGGAAACCCCGCTTTACCACTCTGTGAAGGACCCTCTGTTTCACCAGGAAACCCCCATGGGAAGGGCACTTCGAGGGCAAATTGCGGTGTCTGGAGAGAGCTAGGTCCTGGGTACATTCTGCAGAGGCAGAGCGGGGGGGCCGGGGGATGGGTTGTCTCCCTAGGCCAAGTGGGGACCGCGGGTATCAGCTCTCCGTGCGGTAGAACTAGGAAAGGGTCAGGCCACTCCCTCCGCTGGGAGTATCTGAAGTCCTATTGGCAGATTACATACGCTGGCAAAACAGGAAAGGGTTCTGGGAAGTCTAACACGGCGGTGGGCCAACTTCTAGCCAGCCCAAGCTCTCCAAATCCTGCCCCACCGTTGCCCGAAGAAGCTCCCCCTGCGGATTTCCCACTGCAACTGCAGAGCTGAGCAGTTGCCTCTGTGGCCCGCAGAGGGGAAACTGTCTCCTCTCTGGCCCTTCGCAGGAAGACTGTGCCAGCCCTCGGCTTCCCGAAAAAGTTGTGCAAATGCAAATTGTTCCCCTGGGCTCCTGGAGGAGAAATCCCTGCAGGCCAAGGAGCAGAGTCCTTGTGGACCTTCTGCAAGCGAGGGCAGAACAGGGTCAGACTCCGAGGTGCTGTCTGGGCTTCGGCAGATCTGTAGGAGCAGCACCCACCGGGCATCCCCTTGGTCACAGTAATGGATAGAGGGACCTGTAAGCAGGCGATGGACAGCCAGGCTCCCAGACTTAGCAGGAACCCACAGGGAAAGGTCAGGGAAGAGAAAGCGGTAAAATGGTGTCAGAGGTGATGCCTAGTCTCCATTCCTGTTCCCTCCCCTCTTTGCCCAGGTCCGCCAGGAGGGCATTTCCTGTTGGTACAGCTCCTCTTCTTTGCGCCTGCTCAGGGCCTCTGAGCCCTCGTGCCCAGAAGCAGCCCAGGGAACCCCATATCTTGTAGCGGGAGGACGAGCTTCATTCAGCAAACAGCCCGCAGAGCGCTGGGCTTTCTGGCTCATTGCGTAGGCCGTGTCTCTATCCAGAGGTGATGGTTTTCTTTTTCTCTCCCTTCCTCGCTTGCTCTAGGTGGAGAATTCAGGGGACCCATGGGAAAATTTCCAAAACAACCAGGCCCTTACCTACTGGGAATGTGTCTACTTACTCATGGTCACAATGTCCACTGTCGGTTATGGGGATGTTTATGCAAAAACCACACTTGGACGCCTCTTCATGGTCTTCTTCATCCTCGGGGGACTGGTAAAATATTTTTATTATCATGTTCATTTTTATGGTCTTTAATATTTTCTATGATCCACTTCCTTAAGGCTTTGAATTTTTATACTGTGTGTCTGCCCCACAAGCAAGCCACTGCCTTAGGGCTGCAGTCAGGTTACATAAACCAGAGCATGACAGCGACATCTTTGTACATTTCTTTGGTGTGTTATGCTTGTTCCGTAGGCCCAGGTATATTGCCCTTGTTAGGGACAGCCAGTGAGCCAGGAGCCAACCTAATTATCCTTAAGAGATGGGTGCTGTTAATAACCAAGAGTGCTTGTCCCTTAGTAATGGAATTCAGCATCTGATATTCGACAAGGACAGTTGCTGTCACCTGACCCTGGTAGATGTCAATATTCTGTAGTCAGTTTGCGGTTTCAAAGAGCTCGCTTTTCCCTTTAAGCCCCCCAGTCCCCACATTTCCAACAAACACTGTGGCTGGTACCTGCCCTAAGGAGAAGAGTCCCCACGTCAGAGGATGGAGACACTTTGGTCTTATCCAAGAGATCATCACCCAGAGCAGAACAGGGCTTTGTCAGTAGCCTCTCTGTTCTGTAGCAACACGTGGGATAGTCTCCCTCCCCTTCTGTAAGCTAGAAAGTTTCAGTATTTGCCTGACTGATCCACGAGCTCCTTCTGCAGCTCTAAACCGTCCGGTCTGATTAATTCAAAGGGATTTCTGGCAACTCATTGACGGTTCAAAGTAGTTCATGTGAAGTTTAATTTGGGCTGGTTGAGGTAAGTGATTAAAGTCCTGATGAGCACACGGCTTTCGTGTATGTACAGCACACACACATTTATACGAAGGGGTGCATACACACCTCTCTGCTTTGTATGCACAGCTATCTACATTTCAAAGAATGTGCATAAATGTGCGTGTGTGCTGACCTGTGAGAGCAGAAACATTTCCGGAGACCTCGAGGCCCCCGTAGATCAGGAGACCCTGTCCCTCCAGCCACAGAGAGATGTTTGTTGGACAAAACATGGCAGATTTGTGTTTTTCCTCACTATCCTTTCCTTTCGTGTGATTTCCTACATTTACCTTTCATGCTTTTTAGTGATTTTTTACATGTTTATTTTATAAATCTTTTAATGTGTATTGTCTCCGGTCACTCATAAAGGCACTGATGCTCCTCTTCATTTTAGTTAGAAGGAAAAGCTTGGGGCTGGGGATTTAGCTCAGCGGCACAGTGCCTGCCTGGCAAGCGCAAGGTCGTGAGTTCAATTCCTGGTACCGGAAAAAAAAAAAAAACCAAAACCAAAAAAAAAAAAAAAAAGAAGGAAAAGCTTTTGCATAAAAATTGCTTGTGCATACCAGTGTGCGTCTGTGTACACAAGTGTCTGTGTGTCTGTGTGTGTGTGTTTAGCTTCACCAGCATACAACCCTTTTACTTATTATTCTTTAGGCAGAAGAACTAGATGTTGGCTTATTTATTCTCGTCTCCTTTATGGTTTTTCCTCAACTGTGATGTTTTTTCTTTTCTTTTCCTTTTTTTTTTTTTTCCCCCTAGTGGTCCTGGTTGGCAGATGTTTGTTTTGTCCTGTGTAATTTCAGGGACTTGCCCCTTTTTGTACTTTTATTTTTTATAATTCAACATATTAATATATACCTTCACAGGTCTAACCCTCTTGTGTTTTCAGATCTTAGTATTCCCTTCTGCAAAGGTCACCCCCTTTCTTGGGCCTGTCTTTTTAGTCTCTCTTCTGTCTCCCCTCTTCTCCTTAGGCCATGTTTGCCAGCTACGTCCCTGAAATCATAGAGTTAATAGGAAACCGCAAGAAATACGGGGGCTCCTATAGTGCGGTTAGTGGAAGAAAGTAAGTATGCCAAGAGGTTTTGCTGCCTCCGCTGCGGTAGAATCCTCTCTGCATGCCATTTTTTTTTTTGGCTCTTGTTTCTTTGTCTCATGCATGTAGGCAATGTTTGCCCGCTACGTGCCCGAAATTGCCGCTCTCATCCTGAATCGGAATAAATTCGGCGGGACTTTTAACAAACATGGAGGCAGAAAGTAAGTCAGTTGTATCAGACAAGATGTGGTTGAGTGACTTTCAAAAGTCCCTGGGTGGTTATGTTGACTCCTGCTCCCCACCCCTACTTGAGTGGGTGTGATGTCAGAGGAACCCCAGACAGTTGTCACCCTCAGACCAGTTCCCTGATCTTGCTGCCATTCACGATGCCCAAGTGAGGGCGTTGGATTTATCCTTGTTGGATATATATATATATATAACTGGGACCGTATTTCCCTTTTGACCTCTAACACATGACGCAAGCTCATTCAGTCTTCACATCCGCTGGTTATATAATTTAACTTGGGTCTCTCTAAGTGAAAAACTATGATGGGTTTTGTGCACCTATAGCATTAGGCGGGACTAGTAGGGAGATGCAGGTAATCCTGCTTACTGTAAAGGCCTTGTGGTCATCCGGGGACCAGTTCTCTGCAGACAGGAGGTCCAGATCACATCTCTCAGGGGCTGATTACTTACTTGAGATCCCTTCTGGGTGGGAAATATGACATTTACAGTGTCAGGACCCTGCAGGCTCTTCCTGGTGGGTCAGTCTTTTGTTTAGCATCCTTAACATGAATGCTTTATCCTGGGAAAGAATGTATGGAGCCAGTATCCAGTGGAGGTGTTACCTTTGCTCAGGTGGCAGGACCTTCTCTTCCCGATCCTCTGGCAAAGAAAGGGTTCCAGAGAAGAATTTGAAGAAACTGGCCATGCCTGTCCTTCATGTATTTATTTTAAAGCTGTTTGTTTCTAGGGGGTGTGCGGCTTTGTTTGGTATTTTGAGGCATAATCTCCATGGAGTAAAATGTGCCCATCTTAGACGCATAGCTCGAACAGCGGGCGCCTGCACGTGCCCCAGTCACTACCACCCCGGCGTGCAGATCCAGATTTAGAAAACTGCCGTGGTTCCTGCTCCTTCCTCATTAGGGCAGCTCCCGGCATGGCACCGTTCAGATATTCGTCTTCTCAGTTATCTGCGAGTGGCTGGCTTATTTTGTGTTTTTGAGAAAAATAAAACCCAGCTGGGAACCTCACATTTCATTTCATTACATTTCCGCCTCCGCCCGTCTTGACAGGTGGCTGTGCTGGGTGGAGCGGGCTCTCCCGCCCCTCTGGTCAGCGATTCCAAGGTGTCCTGAGCTCAGGTGTCCAGACTTCTGTTCAGAAAATGAAGAGGTGGAATAAAGGGCTCATTTGCGTGAACTAGCCACAGGACACCAGTTTCCTTTCGAAGGCCCAGAGGACAGTGGGCTGGAGAGAAGAGGCCAGTTGGCGCCTCTTCTGTGGAGGCAGTGCCGTCCTTCTATCTTCCCGCTAATGGACCCTCCTCTGGTCATTATCTTAACAGCCCTGGATGAGGTTGGAACCAAGCTGTTCTGACTTCTGGGCCATTGGCCGGATCCGAAAGGCCAAATAAGTCCGGACATTCCCCTTGGTCATTTATCCCATGCCAAGAGGAAAACAGCTTCTTGACCCGGTCTGCCTTTAAGATGGTACTTCGAGGGCCCAGGGTCTCTTTCTGGCTTCCCCACCCTGCTCCCTTAGCCCGCATCTCTTTACCCCTGCCCCTAAGGAAGTCAACAAAATCAATTACTCTGAAGCCTAAGTTCAAAATATTTCTTGCCTCTCCTTCCAGGCTGAATTTTTGTCCCCCGTAAAATAATAGTGTTCCTGGTCCAGTGTGGGTGGGCTGGTGCCTGGCAGATTTTGTTGATGGGTGGCCCTGGGGCCACTGCCCCCCACTCCAACCGCACCTGCTGATAACTTCAAATCACAGACTTCCTGCGGTGTTATTCTGGCTCTGTTCTCTTTTATCACTACTTTTAGCCTGGTTTCTTGCGCCCTTGCCCTCTCTCTTTTTTTTCTTCTTCCTTTATGAAAACGCACTTTGCTTTTAATGTTCTCTTTGGGTCTCCAGTGTCCTCCGACCCTGTGGACAGAAAGTCAACCCTGTGATCCACACCGGGACTGTTCACTTTACTTTACGCATTGTTTCCTGGTTCAAAAGCTAATTACTAAGTAGTTTAAAGAAGCCCTTTGGTCACTTAGATCTTTCATCAGAAAATATAAGCTTGGGAAAGAACTGGTAATAAAGGGCCATTAGCACCCTTTGTTTGATGTTGTTTTTCCAGTCAGTAGAACAAGATTGATGAAATGTTATGTTTGGCCAAAATTTGAGTTTTCATTTGGAATTCAGCGTTGAGAGAATGGGCTGTCAGAATCAATAAGTTTTCTTTCGCTTGGGATCTGGGCATGTGGTAGTAATTAGCAATATAAGGTCTTTAGTTGAGCAACCAAGCATGGATTCTGGCAGCAAACATAATGAGAAACTACAGTTGTTCTATTTCTAACGTCAGAAAGTTTCCAGATAAAATTAAATGCATTTGCAAAAGGAAAGCAGCTAAACTTTGTTGAAAATTAGAGTTCAGGCTCTTAAAATAGCACGCAGCGCTCCCAGTTTTTGTGTATGCAAAAATATATGTATATGCTCTACTTGGGGACACGCATACACACGCTCACTCCCCAGAAGGAATCAAGTGAATGCCCGGAAGGTAATTAGAACGTACACATAGTTAAAGGATTTGTTTACATGTGCGTATTTTGTTCAGAAGTAACCTTTCTGACAACATCTTCACTTGCCAGGGATCTCAGGGTAACTCATGATCCAAAACTACAGAGACACAAAATTTTGAAATTCAAAGATTGTTTAACATAAAGAAAAAAAACGTTAGGCAGAGAGGTTCAGGATTTTATTTATACAACATTCAAATTCAGGATATTGGGGGTTATGGAAATTTCTTTGGCACTTCATTCCCAGTTTTAATCAAGGCTTTTAGCATACTGTAAATATTTTACATAGCATTCTTGGAACATCTTCACCATCCATACCACATCAAGGGCCGAGGGTGTCTTGCTCCGATGTTTTCATCGCTTCTCGCAAGACTTTGAGAGTCTGCAGTAGGTGTGGGTGCGCATGCGCATGAGTGTGTGCTGGCCGTCCTTACACGTTTCTTACCATCATATATGAAGGCTCCTAAGAACAGGGACTTGGGTATTAACAGCTAAGGGGTCAATGAATGGCGCAAGCAGACAATTCCTCCAAGGTGGTAGTATTGGAAACAATTAGCTGAGACAATTAGGCTGAGAGCCTAAATTTTATTAAAAAGAATAGCCCACCTGCAGACCAGCCTGCCTCCCAAAGCTATGGCCCCCTTTGCTTTCCCTTCCTGTAAGGTCAAAGCTGCCCAGATGTGGGGGGAGTGTAGGGGGCAGTGAGGCTCCCATGGCCTTTGGATTCCCAGCTCCCTCTCCTTCCTCCCATGCCCCCTTCCAGTCGCCCCCCCTCCTCCGAGGTTTCCTTTCTAAGCATGATTCAGTCCCCTCCTGGCTAGTTTATGAGAACTGACAAGATCATGGTCTGAGGTCACATGGCCAAGGGCCATGGAAAAAATAATTGGCCACAAAGAGGAATCCATCTGCTGTAACCCCCTAGTTAGAGGCAGCCAGCTGGGGAGCCATCCAGACCCTGTGTTTCCCTTCGTGGGGCTTTAACGGCCTCCAGTGGAGGCTGACCTAGACCAGGTGTTTGGGACACAGCGACTGGGATGGGATGGGATTGCTCTACTGTATTTTGATAGCCAGGTGCTGAGAGCACACACAGAGAACAGTGATTAATAAGAGACAAGCAGTCGGCAGAGGAGAACAGGTGAGCGAGTAAAGGTGATTAACACAGAGGAAAGATCCCCAGGACAGGAATGTCACAGCCCCATTCTGTTTTGGGGATTCCTTATTACACACTACCCCATCTCTTGCTCCAATTCAGGACCTCCTTCCCCGCAAGCTCAATGCTGTATGTATGTTCCTTGCAAAGACGACACCATCTTATGCAAGGCACATGAGTAGCACCAGAGTTTGCTGTTTGGGTGGTCCTGGAGCTCTGGCCTGAGAATGCAGGGGGGTCATGTGTCTTCTTCTCAGGCTCTAGTTTGCCTGAATAATCCTCTCTGACTTGCGAGGATAAGGCCTTCTGCATATCCTCTCCAGTTTTTTTTTTTATTATTGGGTCCCCCTTTTTATTATTGAGTCTTTCCTCTTTTCAGGAAGATCCTGAAAAGGATCTGATCACTCTGATCACTCAGATCCTATCATTCAAATCCTGTCTTCTTCACTGAGCCCATGTTTTATTATTCTGACTGGCTCGCTCATATCAAGATGGAATTTTACTTCTTTTTCTTCCCTGTATTCAAATTCTGCCCACCATGCTTCTCAGGCCAATTTTAAAGGATTTAGAATTGTAAAGGTTCAGTGGTGTCAGAACATGGATTATTTCCTAACAAAGACTCCTGGAGTGTAACCCCACTATGGTCTGCCGCACCTCGTCAACAGTTAACCTGAGTCATGGCTTTGTGTCCACCCATTCACTTGTGTTTATTGTTTGCCAAGCGCTAGGGACAGATGGATTTCTGTGTCCCCATCAAAACTTCCAAATGTGCCACAAGTTTTGCTCTTGGGTTGTATTTTTATACCGTTTGGCCACCTAAGTGGCTGGGAGGATCAACCTCAGAGCTGATTTAATTAAACCACTCCTGGTTCCTAGGGGTGTGAGTCTTCCTCCAGCACCTTTTCCATCTTTTTGCTCTTTCTGGGAAGGCCTGGCCTGTGGGCACTTGCGAGCAGGGTTCAGTTTGATTCATGTAGTGCTGATGTGGGCTAATACCACAGGCCGGCTTTCTCTTTGCCTTCCTGTTTATGTGCATCTTGGATAACACTCACTCTCACTTCCCCCAGAGCTACGAGGGGTGGAGCACTTT